TATAGGTGTATATATTTATGGGTTGCCTGAGATATTTTGATATAGGCATACAATGTGTAATAATCACATTAGGGTAAATGGGATGTCCATCCCCTCAAACTTTTACCCTTTATGTTATAAACAATCCAACTATACTTTTCGGTTATTTTAAAATGTAAAATTAAATTATTTTTTATGAAATCACCCTGTTGTGCTAGCAAATACTAGGTCTTACTCATTCTTTCTATTATGTTGTATCCATTAACCATTCTTACTTTCTCCCTACATCCACCATTCTCACTTTCCCCCTACCTCCCCGCTCCCCTACCTCCCTATCTTTCCTTCTACCTCCTCCTCTCCTACCTCCCCACTTTCCCCCTACCCTTCCCAGCCTCTGGTAACCATCCTTCTACTCTCTATTTCTATGAGTTCAATTGTTTTAATTTTTAACTCCCACAAATAAGTGAGAACATGTGATCTTTCTGTGCCTGGCTTGTTTCACTTAACGTAGTGACCTCCAGTTCTGTCTATGTTGTTACAAATGATTGAATGTCATTCTTTTTTATGGCTGAATAGTACTCCATTGGGCATATGTACCATATTTTCTTTTCTTTTCCTTTTTTTTTGAGACGGAGTTTTGCTGTTGTTACCCAGGCTGGAGTGCAGTGATGTGATCTCGGCTCACTGCAACCTCTGCCTCCTGGGTTCAAGCAGTTCTCCTGCCTCAGACTCCCAAGTAGCTGGGATTACAGGCATGCGCCACCATGCCCGGCTAATTTTGTATTTTTGGTAGAGATGGGGTTTTACCATGTTGGTCAGACTGGTCTCAAATGCCTGACCTCAGGTGATCTGCCCACCTCGGCCTCCCAAAGTGCTAGAATTATAGGCGTGACCCATCACACCTGGCCTGCACCATATTTTCTTTATCCATTCATCCTTTTTTTTTTTTTTTTCAAACTTTATTTTGAGACAGGGTTTTGCTTTTGTCGCCCAGGTTGGGGTGCAATGGCATGATCTTGGCTCACTGCAACCCCCGCCTCCTGGGTTCAAGTGATTCTCCTGCCTCAGGCTCCTGAGTAGCTGGGATTACAGGCACCTGCCACCATACCCAGCTAATTTTTGTATTTTTAGTAGAAACGGGGTTTCACCATGTTAGTCAGGCTAGTCTCGAATTCCTGACCTTAAATGATCTGTCCGCCTCAGCCTCCCAAAGTGTTGGGATTACAGTTGTGAGCCACTGCATACTTGTACATTGGCTAGGAACTGAACCCGGGCCTTCTGTGTGGAAGGCGAGAATTCTACCGCTGAACCACCACTGTGCTGATTTATCCATAGAGCAGGTAAACAAATGGCAGCCCTGGTCCTTTAAACTTTATCTTGAACTTAGAAATAACAAGAAAAGACCCTTGAGCCCCAAATAACTTTTTGATGAGCATGCAAATGTAAAATACATTTCAGAAAGATTTAAAAATCTTTTGGACCTCTTATGCTTTATAATTATTCCTTATAGTTGACTAGGATGGAATGCTTAATTTTCAGTTTCTATTATTTTATATTAATGCACATACACATTTTTTTTAACTAAATTTTTTTTTGAGGGACATGGTCTTGCTTTGTTACCCAGGCCAGAGTGCAGTGATGTGATCATGGCTCACTGCATCTTTGACTTCCTGGGCTCAAGTCATCCTCCCCCCTCAGCCTCTCTAGTAGATAAGACTGCAGGGGGTCCACCATCATGCCTGACTGATTTTTAAATTTTTGTAGAGTTGAGGTCTCACAATGTTGCCCAGGCTGGTCTTGAACTCCTGTCTTTAAGCAATGCTCCTGCCTCAGCCTCCTAATGTCGTGGGATTGCAGACATGAGCTGCCATGCCTGGCCAGCGTTATGCTTTACTCTTTTTGATAATGGAAGTACTACATGCCCAAGTTAAAAAAAAAAATTAAGCCATATTGAAAACATTTTAAAAATCCGAATCAACTTTATTTCCAACTTTCAGAGAAAACTTAGGTTATCATTTTGAAGCTTACTTTTTGGACATTTTTCTTGTGCTCGTATTTACACACAGGCACATACAGAATTATGATGATTATGTTCAAGATGCATTGTAATCAGGTTTTTTTTCACTTAGTTATATCGTAGATATCTTTACGTAGCAGTAATGCATAGCAATACCATTTTAAGTTACTGCATTAATGTACTATGTGAATGTATTGTTTAGTCAGCCTCATGCTTTTTCTCTTTCATCATTAAATGAGTTAATGAACATGAATATTCTTGTCTGTACCTTTTTCTTATTTGATTATTGTTTATTCACATAATTTAAAGCTACAAATGTAGCAAAACTTGTAAAACTTCAGAGTGAAATATTGAAGCCCTTGAGGTATTGGTATTTATTATTATTATTATTATTATTATTTTGAGATGGAGTTTTGCTCTTGTTGCCTGGGCTGGAGTACAGTGGTACAATCTCTGCTCACTGCAACCTCTGCCTCCTGGGTTCAAGCGATTTTTCTGCCTCAGCCTCCCGAGTAGCTGGGACTACAGGTGCACGCCACCATGCCCAGCTAATTTTTGTATTTTCAGTAGAGATGGGGTTTCACCGTGTTGGCCCAGGATGGTCTCGATCTCTTGACCTTGTGAGCCACTGCACCTGGCCGAGGTGTTGGTATTTTTTTAGTATGATATTGTTGCTTGGTGAAGCCAGAGAGTTGTATTGCATAGTGTCAGTCTCAGGTGTTTCAGAATACTGCTTCAGTCATATCCTGAAGTGGTTCCAGAATTGCTATATTGGAGCATTTTTAGGGGTAGCTGTAAATTTGAAAATGTATTTTCGTAACACGATAATTGAAGGCTGGTGGGGAAGATGATGGAGATGACATCTCCAACATGCCCTTTGATAATATGTTGGCAGTAAAATTAATGGCTAAGAAAAAGTTATTTATATTTATGAATGTTGTAATTTTACTGTTAGTGTCATGATTTGCAAGCCAAGACAGAGGCTTTTTACAAATAAAAAAAAAATGCTATATATGGTGGTTTATAGTGTTTCACCTATGGTAAAGTTACTTGTGTCCCCAGTGTGGACCTGTTTTAGTTACTGGTAAAAGTAATAATGAAATAGAAATGTACTGAAAATTTTACTTGGAAGATTAGTGGGGGTGTGGTTTATTTTTTACACATTTATTTAAGACGTCTTGAAATGGTATACTGATTTAGAAGATACATACAAGACAAATAATCTGAGAATTACTTTCATTTTTCTGAATTAGCTGTGTAGAGTCTGTTAAGAATTCAATTTTTAAAAACTGGTTAAAAATCTGACTGAACATTTGCCATTACTGATATTCTCAACCTGCCTTTTTCTTCATACTGCTCATCATGTTACCTTTATTTTGCCTGTACTTTATTTTTATTCACCTTAATTTACCTTAGTAATTTATGTGGATCTTCTCCCATGGTAAGTCCTTGAGAGCAGATACAATGTTTTAAAATTGCTCAACTCTGAGCACAATGTTTTGTATATATGGTATATACTTGTGGATTATATTGAATGAATGTGTCACCTTTTTTTTTTTGTAACAAAAATACCTCTTTCTTTGTAGCACTGATCCTTAGAATTTCCTCCTGACATTTTCTGTTACTTTTATTTTATAGAGGATGGGACCAGATTTGTTTGCTTCTTCTGTTAATGAAAATACTTGCTAAGCCATCTATAAATATTTTTACAAAATTGAATATTATTATTTCCATTTCATTGAGTAAAGCCTTACTCTATGGGATCAAGATCAGGAAAACTATTTATCTCTCTCAGGCTACGTGTTTTCTGGCTGTTATCTTTTGTTTGTTTTGAAACGGAGTCTGGCTCTGTCACCCAGGTTGGAGTGCAGTGGCGCGACCTCGGCTCCCTGCCAGCTCTGCCTCCCGGGTTCACGCCATTCTCCTGCCTCAGCCTCCCAAGTAGCTGGGACTACAGGCGCCCGCCACCACACTCGGCTAATTTTTTGTATTTTTAGTAGAGACGGGGTTTCACCGTGTTAGCCAGGATGGTCTCAATCTCTTAACCTCGTGATCCGCCCACCTCGGCCTCCCGAAGTGCTGGGATTACAGGAGTGAGCCACCGCGCTCTGCCGGGGCTGTTATCTTAATGCTTACAGAACTTTATTTGTATTTTTTTCTTTATATCTGTTTTTAAAATTTTTTTACTTTTTGTGTTTTTTTTCATATTGGTTTTTTCATGTTCATATATAAACGGTCATAGTATTTCTTAGACATAATTAATGGAAAAGAAGAATGAGCCTGACTGCGTGTGTCAACTTAATTTATTTTAAAAATTGCTTAATGTTTAGCTGGGCATGGTGACTCATGCCTGTAATCCCGGCACTTCGGGAGGCTGAGGCAGGCCAATGAATCTCTTGAGCCTAGGAGTTAGAGACCAGCTTGGGCAACATGGCAATTTGCATCTTGAAGGGTTATAACACAATGTTTTGGAGGGAAGGATCCTTTTATTACTTTTAGTTTATAATAATCATTATTACCATTTTATTTATCATATCATTATTTATAATCAAATTTTTTTTTCCTGGATGCTTTTATATAATCAGACATTATGTTCTGGCCACATTTCACATAATAGAGTGAAAGGAAAAGAGGAATTCAGAAAAGCAGAAGAAAGTGTGTCAAAATTTATACGTTCAAATCAGTGCTACCTTTCCAAGCAGTGTATACTTTGCTACCATTGCTCAAATTGTCCATTGGATCTCATTTTCTAGATAATGGCTTTAGAGTTTTATTTGCATCTGTACAAAAATGTGTCTGTTCAACATGAAAACATTAGTTAATTCAGTCAGTAGTTGAGTTTGGGGTTTATGTGATACCAGTAGTTTTCACTTTCTGGTGGATTCGTTTTTTTACTTTCTGGTGGATTCAGTTAACAGAATCGTTGTGATGAGTTTTTTGTTAGGTTAGATTGCTAGAAATGGGTTATCTTTGAATTAATGATCACTGGTTTGTTTTTTTTCCTAGTCAGCAGATAAGCAGAGAGCCCTAGAAGAAACCAAAGCCTATACCACCCAATCCTTAGCAAGTGTTGCCTATCTGATAAACACCTTGGCCAACAATGTCCTGCAGATGCTGGATATCCAGGCATCCCAGCTACGAAGGATGGAATCTTCAATCAATCATATTTCACAAGTGAGACCACAATATTTTCCTATTTGCCTATGAGGAACCCTTAATAATAAACACAGGCTGTCTGTAATGCTGGCAGCTTTTATTATGTAAGTTAACTCACATGTACGATTTGGAAAATAGAAACTTAATATTAGGTTGTTTTTTGATTATATCTTTTTGTGGGTGGTTATCTGTGTGATTTTGATAAGAAAGTAAATTGTGAATTTTATTAAAACTCAGTTGTCATGGTAACATAATCAGCCCTATAATGAAACTTCATCCTTCCCCCCCTCCACTTTTTTTTTTTTTTTTTTAACAAATTCCTTCTTTTTTTTTTTTTTTTTTTTTTTTTTTTTTTTTTGGAGA